CCATGGCCAAGCATGCCTGAGGCCTGGATGGTTAGTACTTACCTCTGATTGTTGTCAACCTGTATCATCCAGTTTTAGAGAAGATCTTGGTCAGTTTAGGGGGGAAAATGATCAAATTACTCATTCCCCATCATCCCTTAGGTGCTATGTGACTACTCTGACCTGTCTGCCTGCCACAAGCATCCTCTTGGTGTGGCTCAGGGCACAATACTTTAAATTTATGACACCTTAATATGCTGAGGACTTTGAACCGAATGTGTGTTATCTCTGCTTTCCTGTCTCTTGTCCTATATATACCCTCAAATAAGCCATAGAAACCAGACTCTGTTCTCATGGTGAGTCACAGAAACTGGAATCTCCCTTCCTCAAAGCAAGCCATAAATCCAAAAATATTACTTTCTCCCTTCCCCTTGATTCTGAGAAGACCCAATCCCAAAGGGAGAAGTTATAAAGGAATGATGCCACACAGAGAGACCCAATCAGTCTGTTACCCTTATCTCAGTCCTTTTGGCCCAGTCACATTTCTGAATGTACAACTCCATCTACACTTAATGGCACTAAAGCACAGACATTCTTTCTCTTTGGGTCTTTGAGGCCACATCTCTGAAGCTTCCCATAAAACCTTGATTAAGTAAACGTGTCACTCTTATTGCTTATTGCCCTGATATTTTTCAAAGGCATGTCATCCAGCACCTTTCTCTTTAAAAATATATATTTATCTTATTTATTTTATGTGCATTAGTGTGAAGGTTTCAGATCTCCTGGAACTGGAGTTACAGACAGTTGTGAGCTACCATGTGGGTGCTGGAAATTAAACCCTAGTCCTCTGGAAGAGCAGCCAGTTCTCTTAACCACTGAGCCATCTCTCCAGTCCCAAGGACATTTATCTTATGTAAAGGAAATTATTACACCTTTCCACTCCTATATACTGATTTAGCCATAATGCCTCCTGCCTCTGGTGTTCCTTTTACTGATTTATATACACTGACCTCACTCTCTTTTTTTACTACAAATCCCACTGTCTCCTTGTGTTTGGAACAGAGCTCAGCTCTATAATAAGGTCTCCACTGCAAGAGTTCCTGACTAAAATTTCTTCATTTTTTTTATGGAATTATTGTATGACCCTGGTATTTGTTAACACTTTAATGGGTTTCCATTTTCTGACTGGCTCCACGTCTTTGTCATCTGTGTAAAATGGACGCCAAGGCTCAGAAGTCAATATCCCAAATGTTTCAAACTAAAGAAGTACAAAGGTCCATCGACCACATCCCTCCTCATCTCTACCTACATCTTCTCTCTTCCTTTCTAAACACAGACATTTTATTTTGCTTGAAGAGAATGAAGGACCTTGGGTATTTTCACTCATGCGGTCATCACGGCTCTTGGTGGTATATTTTGATCTCTATTTTGTTTTGCTTTAAATAAAATTTTATTTATTTATTTATTTTAGTTTTTCTGTATCTATTTTTCTACTTAAATGCGTATGTGTTTATCTGTGCTCATAGAGCCGGGAAGATGATGCCACATCTCCTGGAGCTGAAGTTTCAGGTAAATTGTAAGCAACCTGATCTGGGTGCTGGAAACTGAACTTGGTGTCTTCTGTCAGAGCGGAATGTGCTTTTAACTGCTGAGCCAACGCTCCAGCCCCTCCTTACTGCAAAGCAACAAAGTCAGACAGCTATCATGAGAAAGTCCTGGACATATCTTGTGACCCAGAATGTAAGCTGTTAGTCACTAAATTAAAATAATAGCTATAGCAACATCAATATTATAGGGTAACTAACTATAGAGATAATAGTTTCTATATATACTGTTGATATCTCAGTGCTTGGCAGAACTTCAAGCCCCTGGTTGTCTATAGAACTCTTCTTGGCAGTCCACCACCCTGCCCTTCTATGAACAACTCAGTTTTGCTTTGGGTGACATTTTTGCCCTACCTACACCCAGAATAGCTGGGATACATGTTTAGATGGGAGACTTTCATTTAATGTACATCATTTTTATAGCAACTAATGTGTATAATATATATTTTTAGGTAGACAGTTAATATTATGATTTCTTAGGACTTTTTCAGATGTCCTTACTGTTACATCATCTAATTTTCCCCTCCCTAGAGTTCCCGCCTTTCCCATTCCCCTCTTCAGATCATTTGTACCCTTCTATTCCCCTCTCTAGTGTCTCACCCTGCCCAATGGTCCCTTTTTATTTTACTGGTTTCTGTAGTCATTCCAGGTTATGTACTCACATCTGAAGATTTGGAGCTAAGAGCCTTGGATGAGAGGGGACATTTAACATTTGTCTTTCTGGATATGGGTTATCTCACTCAATGTAGTGTTTTCTAGTTCCACCCAAATCTCACGACTTCTGTTTTTGTTACCGCTTAATAGTGCTTCACAGTGTATATGTGCCACATTTTCATTACTCATTCGCCAAGCAAAGGACATTTAAACTGTTTCCACTTCCTAGGGTATTAGTCAAACTTCTTTTTGTATTAGGTTTTTAATTAAAAAATTATTTTTCATTTACATGTTACCCCCAAGTTTCCCTTCCTTCCCCTTCTCCTTCTTCTCCCCTTCCCATCCTCCATCCATTTCTCAGAGGAGGTAAGGCCTTTCTTGGAGAGTCCAAAGTCTGACATTCCAAGCTGAGGCAGGACCAAGCCCCTCCTCCCCTGTATAAGGCTGAGCAAGTTATCTCAGCATAGAGAATGGGCTCCAAACAGCCAGTTCATGCCCCTGGGTTGGGTCCTGGTGCCAGTGCCCCAACAGATCAAGTCACATAACTGTCACCCACTTCCTTTAAAGTAGTGGTTCTCAAACTCAAATTCAAATGCATTGACTCTTTAATACAGCTCCTCATGGTGTGGTGACCCCCAACCATAAAACTATTTTGTTGCTATTTCATAACTATAGTTTTCCTAGTGTTATATATCATAATGTTAATATCTGATATGCAGGATATCTGATATGTAACCCCTGTGAAAGTGTCATTTGATCCTGAAGGGGATGCAACCCCTAGGTTGAGAACCATTGCTCTAGAGTAGCAGAACTTACGGAATTCATCTCTCTCTATGTATGTATGCACGTATGTATGTGTGGTTTATTAGAATGACTTACAGGCTGTGGTCCAGCTAATCCAACAATGGCTGGCTATGAACAGGAAGGTCTAGAATGTAGAAGTTGCTCAGTCCACAAGGCTGGATGCCTCAGCTTGTCTTCAGTAGAACCTGGAATCCCAAAGAAGTAGGCTCTAATTCCAGTGAAGTAATAGACTTGCTTGCAAGGCAACAGCAAATAGGCAAAGAGCAAAGGCTTCCTTCTGCTATGTCCTTTTTTATGCTTCCTGCAGAAGGCGTGACCCAGATTAAGGGAGTGTTCCTACCTTCAAGATCCGGATTGAAAGTAGACCGTCCCACTTCAAATTAAGCAGAAGCCCCGTCCAATGTTTGCCTTCTATGTTGGTGTTTTAGTTAGAGGAAGTCAAGTTGACAACCAAGGATAGCTATCACACCTAGCTTTTGTGAATAGAGCAGCAACGAACATGGCAGAACAATTATCTATGGAGTAGGATGTCAAGCTCTTTGGGCCAATGTTAAGGCCAATAACTCCCACTTTTTGAAGGTAGAAACTGGTTAAAATTTAGCTACTAGTCTATGTGTACATAGCTTTTCAAACTGTCCAAACTGTAACGTGGTCCAGGTCTCTCATTCATAGTTCAGGGGATCTCTCGGCCATGTACACTGTTGTTGATGGCCATTGATGTTTACTGCTTGGTGATAGTTACCTGCCCCTAGAGCAGACAAGGAAACACCATTACCAGGGCAAGAGACTGAAAAGCTCCCTTCTACTTAGTCATCAGTACTCACTTTGAAATTAGATTTCAGTCTATGTTCTATTACTGAGAACAGATGTGTGACTTCAAATTAAGTTGGACTGGGTTTGGTGGCTCAAGACTAAGGGGGGGGGTATCTTGGGGCTGCCAAGAGGAGAGGGTTGGGTAAGAATGATAATATGAAGTGAGTTACATTTCAACTAGGGCACCAGTAGTGATAGTGTTCATTAATCCATTCAGGTAATACTGAGAACCACAGTGGTTTGTTTGGTAAATAACACATATCGCAAATGGCAACTGCGATACCATCCCATTATAAAAACTGACTTAACACACTTACCCAGATTTTTTTTGTTTAGATGAACATCTTCTACTGAACCTGAATGTTTCTAGAAACTAATATCAATTACTTGAACTTTACTATTATTTTCTTAAACTGACACATTCAGTAACACATGGCGTTTACACTTGAAGCTCTTCTAAGTCTTCTTTTATTCCCCCAGCGGGATTTCTCTGTATATTTTTCTTTTAAAAATGCCAATACCATTCAAGAAACACTTCCAAAGCTCAGACTAATTCCAAGCTAGATTTTTAACAAATATATATTCCCCCGCTTTACTGAGATGTTAATATTTTCTTCAACTGCTCAACATTTATAGGAAAAATAAACTCCAATTGGCCTACGTATAAACAGCAACAAAATCTTGTGGGTCTGCAGTACAGTAAAAGCATATTGTGTTAATTTGTGAAAAAGCGAGTTAAGTTGCCAAAGCTTAAGTGCACACACACACACACACACACACACACACACACACACACACACACACACACACCTATTAGTTGCAGGAATTCCACTGAAAATGACTCCACAGGAGGGGAGACGACTTGAATGAAGGGCTAAAACCTAGTTTTCTTAAGCTGTCCTTAAGAGCAAGTCGGAGTAGGTGCGGGGAGGTTTTCCCACTTGTGGCTCCGCCTGGACAGGGCTCAGGGCGGCCTTGGAGTCTGGGAGAAGTCGCACCCTTTGCCGAGCTCCTCTGAGGGCAGAGGCTGTCCTCGCCTCGCCTCGCCTCGCCGCGCCGCGCCGCCCGCTCTGGAGGGAGGCGGAGCCGCTCGCACCCGCGGCCGTGGCCCCGCCCACCTAGCCCCGCCTCACCCGACGCCCCGCCTACCGGGCTGTGCCGAGGGCGCGGGCGGCCCGGGCTGCTGTGCGGCCGCTCGGCTCCCGCCTGGGCCGCGGCCGCGCGCCCTCCCTTCGGGGAGGAGGAAGAGGAGGAAGGAGGAGCGGCTTGAGGAGGGCCGAGCGCGGCACTCGCGCCGCCGCCGGGAGGAAGCGGAGCCGGCGGCCGCGGGGTGAGCGGCGTGGGGTGGTGGGGGAGCGGGTGGGCGCGGGGTCGCGTGCGGCCGAGCGGAGGGAGGGGGCCGGGGTGGGGGAAGGAATGAGAGGCCCAGGCCGGGGCCCCGACCGACCCTCGGCTCCACGCCGGGCCCGCCGCCGCCTTTGTTGCCCGCGGCCCCGCGGCTGTGCGAGGCCGGGGCTTGGCGAGGCCTGGGCGGCGGGGCCTGCGGGCCGGGCCGGTCGGGGCGCCCCGGAGCGGGGCCGGGGCAATCGTGGCGGCCCGGACGGCCCCGGGGATGGCGTCCAGGGGACGAGGTGGAGAGCGGAGCCGGGAGCGGGGTATCCGCGCGCGGGGGGCGGCGGGAGGGAGGGCCGAGGCATTTAAACTGCCCTGATCCCGCACAGGCCCTCCCCTGCTCCCGGAGTTGGCAACTTCAGGTACGCACACCATTGTGCAGTACCGTGGATGTCTCCCGCAGCCGGGCCTGGCCCCAAACTTGGGAGAGTTGTGTGCACCAACTTAGTGTGTAGTCAGGACGCGATTTGGGGTTCTCGTCCCTACTTTTTTTTTTTTTTTTTTTTTGTAGTGGGAGGCCGGTGAGACGGAGGTGGAACTCGGGCTTCCGGTTGGGAGATAATGTTGAATTCTTGAAGGTCTCACTAAGGCAGGCAGCGTGCCGTGCCGCTGTGTATGCCCGAGGACTGTGCAGTGTGCTAATTACAGTTGCAATGTGAATGAAACACACGAGACACTTTCCCAAATACAGCCTTAATTTACAGTGTTCCTTGGGATAAAGACAAACTTGTAACCAAAGGTAAAACTCCTGCCTACGCGAAGGTGAAATACCAGTCACAGTAACAGTAGTTTACTTTTAACCCACTAACTCCCACAGTGGAGTCCGTGTAGTTTACGTGAATGAATGAATGAATGAATGAATGAATGAATGAATGAATGAATTTCACTTGGAATCCTCAGTGCTGTGAAGGCAGTGGAAAACACGAGTGGTATTGCTTAAAGGCTTCAAGGATAAAATCCAGAAGAGGTAGCATATAATCTGATTTTTCTTCTTCACTGATTTTTCTCCAGTGCTTCGTGTATGGATGTGGGAAGAAGCTTTAGGGTCTACCCCTGCCCCAGGAAAGTAGGTCATCCCTAGCCCTTGTTTATTTGAGGACATGACTTCTCAACAGTGGGCTTCATAAGGGATGTAGGAGACTTTTATTATACAGGGTGGGACCAGGTGAGGATCTGCCAAGTTATTTACCACGACCTCTAGCTTTTCTAAGGCTCCATTTAGCATCTCTTTAAAGAAACGGCCCTTGTTTGCTTTTATCGTTTAAGACTCCCTCTGAATTGGTACCTGGCCTTGCTCCTTTCCCTTCTGACGATGGAATTAAAACACTGTCTCCCTCTGGGAGTCATCCCAGTGCCCTCTCTTGTTAGGACACCTGCAGGGAGTGGCAAGGCAGGGATTTGGGTGCCAGCCGAAAGCACAGGGTGTGGTGTGGAAAAGTGCGGCTGTACCAACTGGATTCCAAGCCATTTACTTTCCCATGTTCTTCTCCAGTCTTGCTCCAGAATGGAGAAGCCGTTGTTTTTAAGAGCTGTCTTTTCAGAGAACAGAAACCAAGTGCTTTCCTAACCTTCTTGTGTAACTTCATCCTTAGAGAAAACCCTGCTATTTTTTGCCACCTTGGACAGTTTTACGAAACTTTGCCTTAGCTAGCTAGGGAGCCTCTTATTTTGCTTACAGGGGTAATTGTATGATCTTATTTGAAAGTTCCGAGGTACACTGAAAGGAGGCAGAGCTTTTATGTCCATTTCTGAGTTCTTGGTGGTCACTGTCACTCTTGAGAAAATGTGTTCACAAGAAACAGAATGGTACACACATATGTGTACGACATTAGATTTGTTTGGCTCTTCTGACCACTTGAAGTTACAGAGATGACATTGATTGATTGATGTCTGTGGTACCTGCATACTTTTGTAAAATCACCATTCTCATGAAGAATCAGCTTCCTTACCTTGGCTGTCTTGTTGATACCTGACTTTATATTTAAGATTTCACTCTCCATACTGTACACAGAGGACATGACAAGTATTAGGGTGTCCATTCGCTAGCACTGAGACCTTGAACAGGCTTTGGATCTCCTGAGTCTTATTCCTCAAATGGATCTAAATTCATCTCACAGTTATAGTAAGTATGTATTTATTTGTAGTAAATCCAAACTCTTAACTGGGCTACAGGATTTTACATAGGTTTACACCTTGTCTTATACAGTAGTCATACCCTGGCCTTCCATTTCTCAGCATTCTAGGCTGCTTTCCAGCACCCAGCCCTGATACATGGTTCTGTTGACTCTCAGTGTCCACCAGTGTCTACTTGTATGGGAGATTTATTCCTAGGCCTTAGAGCCAGTGTCCACACCTCAGAGAACCTTCCTAAGTACTTTGAAGTAACAAATTGGCATATTTCCTTTAGAATGGTTGTCTAAGTGTTCTGTTCCCTCCTTTCTGCTCTGTCCTCATTCAGGTTCCATGAGGGAAGTATGCCTGTGATGGTCTCTTTTCCCTTTGTGTCCCCAGCACATGGAACTTGGCTACTTTCCCCTTTGTGTCTTTAACATATCCTGTGGAACTTACACACTGAGCAGGGACTGAGTATTCAGAAAGTATTTGTAGTTCTTATCATGTGACAGAAAGAGGCTTGTTGTGTAGATATTAGGTAGCTTTTGGTATTGTGAGTTGTTTGTCCTTGTCCAAGCTGGTCTCAAATGAATAAATCAAAACACTAGTAAAATAAAAAAAAAAAAACCTTTCACTGTTTCCCTGTGGAGCCATAACATGTGTGAGTTACTCATGAACAAAGCAGGTTTATGGCACAGATGGACAGATCTGCCTCACTTTTATAAGTGGTTATTTGTCAGGATGGAAAGTAACTATTCTGGAGCATATTTTCTCACTGTTCCTTTACATAGCCTAGTGAAGTCAAGTCTCAGTTATCTGGAACCTCTTGGCAGCCTTAGTTTTCAGCAGAGAGGCACGCAAGAAAGAAAAACCAATTTGTAATTAGACATGCCAGATACTTAGAAGACTGATTGCAATAGTCTTTCACTGGAATACAAATCTAGATTGAATACTTTGATTTTGTATAATAGCTTTTCAAAAAGTTTTTATTTGTAAAGTTTGTAAGAGGTGAGATGAAAAATCAAGACAGTGCATGTGACTAGGTTGATGTTTTAATACAGCAAGTGATACTAGTAATAACTAATTTCAAATGTGCTTGGACTGGTCAAAAGGAATATACTGAGGAACCAGCCATGTCTCTCTGTTAAAGAACGCTATTATGGGAAAAGAATTGTAAGACACAGTGACAAGAGAAATGGACAGGGAGCAAAGCAATTGGTAGTAGCAAGTTGCTGGTATGGGGGGGGGGGCGTGGTCACAGGTCACAGTGTGCCTGCCAGTGGAGCCTGGCTGTGGGTGCACTACTCCTAGATGGTGTGAGTCCTCTCTGAACATGTGGTATGAAGCTGTCTTCCTCTTCATAGCTACCACACTAAAGTACTGCCTTAAAATTATTGAAAAGATTTTGAAGACAGATTATCCCATTTTCTCACATTCAACTCTTAGACATTAGAGAAGAAAAGAAAGAAATAATGGAATGTAAGAGGTCACTCAAGACCTGTATGGCAGTATGAACTTGTATTTAAACCACCTTCTTACAAAGGCATAGGATTGTGTGGCTCCTATTATATAAAAGATTTTTTTAAGGTTTTTAATTTCTATTTATTATGTATACAATGTGCTGTCTGCATATGTGCCTGCATTCCAGAAGAAGGCATCAGATTTCATTATAGATGGTAGATGGTTGTGAGTCACCATGTGGTTGTGGGATTGAACTCAGGACCTCTGGAAGATGAGCCAATGCTCTTAACTTCTGAGTCAGCTCACCAGTCCCTAGATAAATTTTTGTTTTGTTTTTGAGACAGGGTTTCTCTGTAGCTTTGGAGCCTGTCCTGGAACTCGCTTGGTAGATCAGGCTGGCCTTGAACTCACAGAAATCTGCCTGTCTCTGCCTCTCAAGTGCAGGGACTAAATGGTGTGCACCTCCACCTTCTGGCCTGATAAAAGATTTTTAATCAAAAAATTAATCATTTAGTCTTGACCTTATAATCCCACAGATAAGCTTGGTTTACTAAGTGCTTCAGATAGTCAGTCTTTGCTGTAGATCTCATTCTGACCATAGTGTCAGAAGTGTCAAATAGTTTTCACACTGAGATTAAGATAAATACTCATTGGTGGATGTACTACTTTGTATGTATGTTACTTCCCTTGTGCTAATTTTGTTTTGATATTTATAATGCATTATTCTAAAAGTTTATCTTTGAGTTTTTTGTTTGTCTTTTTTGTTTTCTTTAGATAAGGTTTCTTTGTGTAACCTGTCCTGGAACTTACTTTCTAGACTAGTCTGGTCTCCAACTCACAGAGATCTCCCTGCTTCTGTCTCTTGACTGCTGGGATTAAAGACATGTGTCACCATGCCCAACAAGCTTTATTTTCAATGAGTACTTGTCTTTTGGTATCCCTTTCAATGGGGGAAAAATATTTAGGAAATAATGTTACCAAATATCACAGACTGGCAGAATATATAAACAAGTAGGGAGTCTCTGCATTTTTATCCTTTCATCTGTAAAATTGTTGTAATTTTAGACTAGAAGGCCTTCAACAGAGTATATAATCAGACTTCATTCTTTTACAGATGATTAAATAAATAAGTAAATAAATTCAAACAAGTGTGTATGTAGTTAGTCTAGTTGTATGCCAGTTCTCTAGAGGATTTCAACCTGGGATCTCATGCACACAGCTCTTTTCGATGTTGATGCCTGTGGTTTAATTTAATTCTGGGAGTTGAACATTTGAACTTCCATCTTCATGGACAGTTGTCTGGGCTTGGCTAGGGGAGATACAGAAGCAGGGGCAGAAAGAGCCCATGCATCAGTCTGGGACTCACACCTGAAAACTTCCTGAAAAGTGAGGAGGTGCTACTTTTCTGGTTTTGGCCTGTGTGTTAGAAAATGCTTGCTCAAGTATTTGGTTTATAGTCTGACTGTGGATAGAATTTTAGGTACAATTTACTCAGGAGAAATAGGTTATGTGGCACTGATTAACCCTAAAATCTCAGTGTATTACAAAGGGTGATGGTTGGGTTTAAGCTTTCCTGGGTTTTGGAGGGGTAGGATCCTTGTGACTTCTTTTGGATCTGTCTGCTCTTCTGCAATTGCTGTCCTATGACTCCAGGCAAGTGGAGAATAACAGGTTGATGCACTGTTAATCCACTGCCCAGAATCCATCATATGGTCTTGCAAGAATGCCAGGGAATGTAGAAGATTCAAGGAGAGAGATACTGAACTATTGTGATGGATGACATTGAGGTTTGAAAGCAATGCCATTGACACTCAGCCTTCACTGGTAACTTGGGCCAGCTACCACTTGTTTATAGCGATTCTGTGTCTCTAGGAATTTTTATAGTTTTTGTATTATCTATGAACTACAAAAGCTTAGCAATAGTATGACTCATCATTACTCTTTTATTCTTAAAGTGTAATATTCCTTTTTTTTTTTTTTAACCTGGATTGATTTGTTTATTAGTTATTTTCTGATGTCAATCTTTTGAGGGTGTTTTTGTTGTTGTAGTTAAATGTTTCACAGTGCATTTTGGTTTTCTTACCCTCCTATACCCCTTTAAAAGAAAAACCTTGGGCTTGTTTCAAATTTGTGATATTTTGCAGGCCTGTTTCTTCTTGTCTTCCTTCTAGAAAGATTGAATTTATTTATTTATTTTATTTCCAGTGCTGGATCTGGAAAGTGGGACTTGGCTTATACTTAGTTAGCTATCACTGTGCTGGGAGCCACAGCTCAGGCTTGTGTATACCAGTTAACATTGTTCTCACTGGTTATACTTTTCTTCTGCTTTCAGGTTTCCATTGTGTATGGGGGAATGGTAGTATGCTCATCAGATTTTTGTCAACTGGACACAAACTACAGTTATTCGGGAAGAGGAACTCTTAAATTGAAAAAATGCCTCCATAAGGTTTGCCTGTAGGTAAGTCTGTAGGTCTGTAGTGTATTTTCTTGATAAATGATTGATGTGGGAGGACCCAGCTCTTTGGGGACAGTAACACCTCTGGGCAGGTGGTCTTGGTTGACAAAAGAAAGAAGATAGAATATAAGCCCTGAGGAGCACTGGTAAGCAGTGTTTCTTCTTGGCTTCTGTTAAGAGTTTTTTCAGGGTCCTGCCTTGAGTTCCTGCTGACTTCCCCCTGTGATAGACTGTGATAGAATATGTAAGCCAGATAAACCTTTTCCTCCCCAAGCTGCTTTTGGTCATGGTGTTTTATCAACCAGCCAAGACAGGTTAACATGTATGCTTATTCTTGTTGATAGTGAGTTTTGTTGCTGCTTGTTTTCTTGAGATAGTTTTGCTATGTTGCCAACACTGAAACTCACTGTATTGTCTAAGATGGCCTCACACCACCATTCTTGTGCCTCAACTTCTCAAATGATGGGATTATAGGCCTGCACCACACATTCTGCTCAAAAGTATCATGAGCTCACATAAAACTAGCAGGTAGGTGGCTGCCCCTGCTTCCCCCCTCCCCGTTAGAGCTCATACTCAGGACTTAGTTACTTTACCACATTCTGCATCTACTGTCCGAAGCCTCATGATCTACACTGGACAACATGAATAGTTCAGGTTGTATTATTTAGAAGAGATCAGTCTGTGGGCATGTGGAGATCAGATGACAACTTATAGGAGTTGGTACTCTCTTTCCACTGTTTAGGTGTTCTTGGGGTTGAAACTCAGGTCATCAGGCTTGGCAATATCAGAATCTTTTACCTTTTGAGCCAACTCCTTGCCCAAAGTGGATCATTTTAATAACTGTAAAGACTCTGGGCATGATGGTATATACCTTTAATCCTAGCATTTGAGAGGCAGAGGCAGGGAGATCTCTGTAAGTTCAAGGCCAGCCTCATCTACAGAGTGAATTCCAGGACAGCCAGGGTGGTTACACAGAGAAACCCTTTCTCTAAAAACTAACCCCTCCCCCAACAAAAAGAATGGAAAGAGACCTCATCTTTGGGAGCTCTCAGTAATTGATTATTTTAAATAGATTATTAGCTTACGAAGCAAGCAATGTTTTTGTGAGATTCTTAATTTTTTTTTTTTTTTTTTTTGCTTAATAGGGTTGTATTGTTTAAATGATTAGCTGTATTCTTAGCTGTAATGATTGAATAAAATTTATAGTGCCTCTTTGTAGATTTAATCGTAAACCTTATGTGAATTACTATTTATATATCAAATCTGCTATTCTAAAATCTCATTCTTAATTTAAGTATAATTTATAAAATGTGATTATTTGGTACCACAAAGCTCATAACTTACGGCAGAGATAATAACAAGGATCCTATGTTCTATATGCATTTGAATGATGTACAGTTTTGGTTTTTTTGCTGTTCTTTTGTTTTGTTTTGTTTTGTTTTTTTTAATTTTTAGATTGGAGCTTCTGTGTTAAGATCTGTAGACTCCAGCAATTGGTTACTTTTTGGTCATTATTTGTATGTGTTACCTTTCAGAATGTGAGGTAGGTGTCACGGTGGTGGTGGCATGGTAGCGCATGGCTTTAATCCCAGTACTCAGGAAGCAGAGGCGGGCAGATCTGTAAGAGTTTGAGACCAGCCTGGTCTACAAAGCTACTTCTAGGACAGCCAAGGCTACACAAAGAAACCCTGTCTTAAAGGGGGGGGGGGGAATGAACCTGAGTTAAACTTTTACTGTAAAGTTCAGTGCATTGAAGAGATTTTTATTTATGAGCAAATTACATTACATCTCTGGAGAAAATGCAAAGTCTTGGATAAATCACCTGGTAACATTATTTTGCTGTACCACTTCTGCTCTAGAATAAAAACAAGCCCACAAAAATACTGATCTTTGGATTTTATGTAATTGTTCAGCTTGCCCAAAAAATCTTAAAGAACGTTATCTACTTGGCAGCTTAACCAACAAGGTTGTACTTCTTTTGTAGGCAGTAGCAATGCTGAGTATTTTGGAGAATGTGTGATGTTTCAGTTAAAACCATCCTGTTGACATTTATTAAAATGTCAGTTATGACAGTGTATCAGTGACTCCTGTTAAAAGTTACATTTATAACAGAGGCCAGGGTTTATTACATAACTTATCACTGAGTATTACAATAGATCTTTTCAAATAGTCAACTGTTACTGTGCCTTTGTCAATAAAGTGGGTATGTGGGAATCACTAGGATTTGAATATAAGTTAGGTAGGTAGCATGCACATGATTTCCTTTATCTGTATTGCCCTGGTGCCACTGGGTTATTGTTGAGGAAACAGTTTGTTGAAATGTCTGATAGTTGTTTATAGTTGACCTGGTCCAGGTAAATAGGTGCGTTAGTTACCATGTATTTTCAGTACAATCATCAATTCTCCACCGTGTCCAGAGTAGCACAGACCCCACAGGTAGGAGCTCAGTTCACAGACTTCCCCCATTTAGATGCCAGCTTGAAGTCCTGACCAGCTCTTCCATCTTGCTGACTGGCCAGCAAGTCAGAGGTTCCCACAACGACCTCTTCTGATTATATAATTTGTAGAACTTAGTAAAAAAACTTAGTTGACTGACTTATTATAAGGATTGTGTGCCAGGAACAGCTGAGGAGAAAGGCGGCTTGGGATGGGGTATTAGGTGTGATTTGCAGCTCCTGTTCCCTCTTAGCATGCCCTGCTCTCCAAGTACCTGTTGTTGATCTAGTTTATGGTGCCAAGCCAGTCTCTAAACTCATCTAAAGTTCCCACTCTGTAATAAACTTCATTGGTTTAAACTCTGGTGTGATTGAAAGTCACCTACCAGATCTAGGAGGATACTTTCATCACTCAGGAGATTGTAAGGTTTGGCATAGCTTTTTCAGGAATTTGAGACAAAGACCAAGTATTTCCTATGATATTATGCATGCTTTGAATTAGCAAATGCCAACTCAGGTGTGCATTGGTCATAATAGATTTAAATGTCCACATACACTGAAAGGCAGCACTGAGGTGGAAGATTGTATACCTGTCTTTTTTACCTGTCTTTTTTTTTTTTTTTTTTTTTTTTTTTTTTGGAGATGGCATCTCACTTTGTAACCTGGTGGCCTAGAACTCTATATGTAGACACCAGACTGCCCTCAAAAGCATAGGAGTCTGCTTGATTATATCTCTGAGTTCTGGTATTAGAGACATGAGATACTACTACTTTTTAAAGTGTAACCTCTTAAATGAATGAAGTAATTAAGGAAAAGTGAACATTCATTTATTATTATTGTTGTTGTTGTTGTTTGAGACAAGGCTTCTCTTATGTAGCCTTAGCTGCTCTTGGCTGTTCTGGAACTTGCTCTTGTAGACCAGGCTGGCCTCGAACTCACAGAGATCTGCCTGCCTCTTCCTCTGCTAGGATTAAAGGCATGCGCCACCACCACCTAGCTCATTTCATCAATTCTTAAAGGCTAGCTGCGTTAACTTTTTTATATGTGAACATTTGTTTCTTGTTTAATGTAGCACTAATATAGTAAACAAGGTTATAATAAAAGATTCTTAGAAAAGTTTATATAAAACTTGCTCTGCAGGTTAAATATACAAGTCTGCCTGCATGCTTTGAAGATTGAGGCTCTTTCTTCATATGGGAAATTTAGAACTCAGTAGAGATCAGTCAGTTGGGGCCTGTACAAACTTTGGCTAGTGCTTCCCCATGTGTTAGTGTTGGTGGCCTCCTAATAAGCCTGCTTAAAATTTATTAAGACTTTTGCTGTAATTATAAGTTGTCTTATTTTCTTTCATGGCAATTTTAAATTCATTTTTTTTTTAGTTTATATTTTTTAAATCCACTTTTGTAGCCCTGAAAATAATCCATACTGTTTTTTAAAGTTTATTTTTGATACGATTTACAGGCTCTGAAACAAATCAAAGAAATTATATTGTATTTCTTACGGTTCAGTTATTTTTATTTTCATGTCCTTGCCAGACATTATGAAACTGGTCTGCTGCAGAAGATATGAGTCTCCAGAGTACAAGATGTCAGCAATTGCCCTGTCTTTCTGGGCACTAGTGCCTTTAATTAGAGTATAAACTAAGGAGACACAGGGGAAAGCAGAGAAACTCTCTAAGATGCTATTGCAGTAATTCAATAAACTAGAATATCTTGGCAAAAGCAGTCAGATTTCTGCTTATGTGTTGAAAGTAGCTGTGATTGGACTTTCGTGACATTGTATATGAGACTTCAGATAAAGAAAGGAGCCAGGGGTGATTTTGCATGCTTTGATCTGAGTCCTTGAAAGAATGAGAGGGCTTTAAATGAGGTAGCTGTAAATGGCAGTGGGAGCCTGCAGGTAAAGCAAGTTTGGAAGTGAGGTGGAAAACGTGCAGTTTAGTGTAAACCTGTTACATTTCAGCCATCTATAAAACCTCCAAATGACAATGTTAAGAAGAAAGGTGAATATGATTGGCTTATAAATGGTGAGATAGGAATTTGGGGTGATGGCCCAGATATGGTGAAAGCTCCACCCCAGCCCCTGGCATCCATATACTCAAAGAGTCTGTAATGCTGTGGTGGAAGTTCCACCCAAGCCCCCTCCCCTATCTCTCCAAACCCTGCTGCATCTTGGAAAGCCCACCAAATGATGACCACTCCCATGGGGTATTTAAATTGCCTCCCAGAAAATAGACTTGTGGTTTTCTGGTCTCTCTTTTCCATCTCCTTTCTGAAAGAGGACTGGAAGGCCATCTAGGAGTGTTGTATCCATTAAACATGGGCATTTTCTAGTTTGGTCTGATTTGGATTGTTGCATCGGTGGAGAAGCTTATCAGGATACAGAAACTTTTCAGTAGGTACTATCATCACCTTAATAAGTATGACTTTTGGAGGTACTTAGTTTTGCCGAAACTTGATGTGCCATGGTTTGTTGATACCCATGAGAGGCCTGCCCCTTTCTGAACAGAAACAGAGGAGGAGTGGTTGAGGGAGGTTGTGTGTGGGTGGGTGGGGGTGGAGAGTCAGA